ACATAATAAGTAACATTGCGGTAACTTTTCTTGTTACTATCAAAGTCACATGCTGCCCTGGTAGGTCTTGGGCATGCCTTTCAACCGGGACGCATGCGCCGACATATCTATTTTGCGGCATCCTTTATCTAACCCAGCGGTGCTTGTAGCTAGTAGCGGGATCTGCATTTGGTCCCTTAGGTCTAGGTGTTGTAGCTTAGGGCCTCCTGTGTCAATTTGCAGGCTGTGGCCCTGAGATTAGGTTGGGGACTGGGTCTAGCTGTTCGCACAGGGTAATATGTTAGCGTAACAGGTGAAACTGAACTATGTATAGCTTTGGTGTGCCTGTGAGACATGTATACTGCTAGGCGGCCCATGGCCTCTAGTGGGAGATGTCGTGGGCGGTTTAGCCGTGCGGCTGAGGGGGTGCTGTCCACCACTCTGAGGTGGTGTGGAGTCTCTGAGTGCCCTGTCTACTCGGGGGCATTTTGTGCTGCGTTACGTAGTATATGTTAGCATGATAATTCAGGCTTGGTTGTTGAGTACCTGTTGGTTTGCAGTGAAAGAGTTGTTTTTTAACTATCTGGGGGGGGTCGTATGTTGCCCCGGAGGGCCTTGATCGTACCTTTCAGTGGGGTCGCCTATGCTGCCATAGCTAACCTGCAGTATCCTATCTCAGGGGTGTGCGGCGGGGTCTGTTAGTTAACCCCTGCGTGCGGTTATTGCGTCCTATGGGCACTGTCTACGGCTTACGGGTATTCTGCCTTGGGGGTGTATTGGGTCCTAGGCCCGGCAGTACTTTCAGATAAACATTCAAGTATAACGGGTGTATTTTAACTATATACAGCATTGAGATAACATTGAGGTAACATTGTGGTATGCATACTACCAGTCTTTTAGAGTCCGTGGTTTGCGGCCCTGGGTTGGTTTCAGGTTCTCGGTATGGGGTTGGTGCCAGTTGCCGTCTTTTGGGCCTATCAAGTGTTCATGTCGTCTTGCTCTGGTTGCGTTGGCGGGGACCCTCGCTTGGGTTGCGGGCGTGTTGGGAGCGTGCGGGGCCCTCCTCTGTGGCTCGCGGTCTCTTTCGTGGCTTGGTTGGGGTCTTGTGCTGGGTAGCGTAAGGTTATCCCAAGGTGGTCGGCAAAGTCTTGCATATCTGCTACCTGATGGAGGGTGAATGATTGTTCCCCCTTTTTCACCGACAGTTTGAAGGGGTGTCCCCACATGTAGCGCCATCCGGATTCGATCAAGGCTGTGGTAAGGGGCTTGAGCTCCCGGCGTTTCTTCAGTGTGGTCGGTGCTAAGTCCTGATAGAAGTGTATTTGTTGGTCTTGGTAGGTAGGCTGGTGGGATCTTGCCGCTTTCATAAGCTGTTCTTTGACTGGAAAGTATAGGAGTTTCGTTATGATATCCCGTGGTGTGTTGGGGTTGTAGGTTGGGGGACGCAGGGCTCTGTGTGCCCTTTCTATGTATAATTCTTGGTCTGAGGCGTTGGGAAGGAGGGACTGGAAAATTGCTTTGATTGTGGGGAGAATGGCGTCTGGAAGGACTGTTTCGGGTATGCCCCTGATTCGTATGTTTTGTCTGCGGGATCTGTTATTGAGGTCCTCCAGACCGTCTTCGAGGTAGAGCATTCTGTCTTGCAGGAGCTCTGTGTCCTTGTGGAGGGCTGTGGTTTTTGTTTGGGTGTCCTTTATCAGGCGTTCGTTATGGTCGGTGCGTGAGGTCAGTACCTCCAGCTCTTTCTTGAGGCCTGTAATTTGTTTCTCCAGGGCTGCTGCGGTGTAGGCTTTAATGTCTGCCGATGTCTCCCTGAGCATGGCCCGGAGGTCCTCTTTGGTGAGGGGGGTGGCCGGGGTTTTTTCTGCTTCGCTCCCCTCTGAATCTGAGCCGGAGTCTGCCTGGCTGTGGGCCAAAGATGGCCGCCCGTCTTCTTTGGCGCGAAACATCGTCGCCACCGACGGCGTGGATTCCTTGCGTTTTTTGTTCCCCCCATCTGTAAGAGGTGTGTGGGATCTTTGGGGGCCCGTGGGAGGTTTTTGGGGGCGAGATGCACCTGATAGCCGGCTGATGTGCGCGGATTCACATCTTCAACTTCTATCTCTCTTCTGGCATTGTCCCTGCTGACCTTAAACATGCCACTGTAGTACCTATCCTGAAAAAAACATCTCTTGACCCATGCTCCCCTTCTAACTATCGTCCCATATCCATGCTCCCTTTTTCCTCAAATCTTCTGGAAATACTTGTCTTTACCCATATGTCTCACTTCCTCAATTCCAACTCTCTCCGTGACCCTCTTCAATCTGGCTTCCGCCCTCTCCACTCTACTGAGACTGCTCTTATCAAAGTTACTAACAACCTAATTGCAGCTAAATCCAAAGGCCACTACTCCATACTAATTCTTCTTAACCTCTCTGCTGCCTTTGACACCGTTGATCATGCTCTCCTTCTCCAAACTCTTCAATCACTCGGTCTCTGTGACTCTGTCCTCTCGTGGTTTTCCTCTTATCTCTCCCAACGCTCATTCAGTGTTTCCTTTTTTAATGATACTTCCTCCCCTCGCCCTGTCTCTGTTGGAGTCCCCCAAGGCTCTGTCCTTGGTCCCCTTCTATTTTCTCTTTATACTACCCCTCTTGGCAAACTTATTACCTCATTTGGATTCCACTACCACCTGTATGCTGATGACACCTAGATATCTCTCCTTCCCGGACCTCTCCCCTATCGTCCTGCAACGTGTCACGGCTTGCCTTTCTTCCATCTCTAACTGGATGTACTCCCGCTTTCTGAAACCCTACTCTTTACCCAACCATAATCCAAACCCTACTCCTAACCCTACCTCCTAAAACTGATCTTGTCTTTCCTCCTCCTCTTTCGTTCTCCCTTCAAGTAAGTGGTATCCACATAAGTCCGTCTTTGTAAGCGCGCTGTCTTGGCCTCATGCTTAATTCTGGCGTCACCTTTGAGCCTCACATCCAGTATGTTGACAAATCCTGTAGATTCCATCTTAAAAACATAGCCCACATCCGCCCCTTTCTTACACAAGATGCTACCAAGGAGCTTGTCCATGCTCTAGTAATCTTGCGCATGGATTATTGTAACCATTTACAAATTGGTCTTCCCAAAAGCTGTAAATCCCTGCTACAGTCTGTAATGAATGCTGATGCCAGACTGATTTTCCTCTCTAGCCGGTCCTCACACCTCACCCCTCTGTCAGTCCTTACATTGGCTTACTGTATCCCATAGGAGTCAATTTAAAGTTCTAACCCATACCTATAAAGCACTGAACAATTCTAGCCCCTCTTATATCTCTTCACAGATCCATAGGTATGCACCTTCTCGGTCTCTCCGCTCTGCCCGTGACCTCCTGTCCGCTTCTCGCACCCAGTCTCTCACGCTTGCAGGACTTCTCGCGGGCAGCTCCCTTCCTATGGAATAGCCTGCATACCGCCATCAGACTCTACCCTAGTCTTAAATCGTTTAAGAAGTGCCTTAAAACCCATCGCTTTAGGAAAGCTTATGGTCTCCCAGAGTAACCTCTACCTCACATACCTGTCTCTTGCTCTCTCCTAAAGGGCAGCTCTCTACTCTGTCCTCCAGCTCTGCTTCACTCCCACCTTATTTGATTGCTATTTCCTGTCCTAATGTGTTTTATTCCCCACCTCCTATAGACTGGAAGCCCATTTGAGCAGGGTCCTCTTCAACCTATCGTACCTGTAAGTTTTCTTGTAATTGTCCTATTTATAGTTAAATCCCTCCTCTCATAATATTGTAAAGCGCTACGGAATCTGTTGGATCTATATATATATATCAATAATAATAATAATGGACTAGTTCATTATTTCAATAGTTGTGCTAGTTCTTAGTTAATTACGAATGATGTGCATACATGTCTAGCATGATTTGTTTTCACTACTGCTACAGTAGCTATTTCTAACTAGTAAGGTATTTTTTTTGTAGTCTTGTTGAAACCAGTTATACTCTATAATGTTTTTTTATTTTATTTTAATTTTAAATACAATGTAAATAATTGCCAATCTCTATTATATACTATATTATCCTCTCTTATTCAGCCCCTGAAATGTGTTATCCTAAATCTCTTGTTAATTTCCTACAGGGAAAAGAATAGGTGGTCAATTGTTCATGACCATTTGTACTGGAAAAAGAACATGTCTCATGCAGGGTAGCATTCTGGGATCATAAACCTATAGACATGCATATTTAAAATACCATTATAACACCGTAACATCACTGGTAACCAAGAGAAAGGCTTCTGCATTTGAGCTAGGGCCAGAAGAAGTGGCAGAGAGGCCGTGTGGACCGGCACCATCAAGAAAGCTGATGTGCAAAAACCGATTAAACCCCCTGAGGTAAGATGACCTCAATGTCCTCCGGACACTATAATTATTTTATTGAGATGAAGTCATTTGGTGCCACATAATGTCCCTTTAACTACAATGTTTCCATCGCATGGTTAAACAGACCTCTAGTGGCTGTCTCCCTGACAGTCACAACCGAGTAAAGCTCTGTCACGTGACCAATGCAGCTCATGGGAAAGCATTGAATGAAATTATTTCCTGTGAGAAGCATTTGAATTTGGGGCAGTGCCAAAAGGCGAGGAAAGATTGTATTCCTAATGCTATAGTGTTCCTTTAAACCAGGACTGTCCAACAAAATACAGGACAGTTGGGATGTATGCACTTGGATGATCATGGATCAATGACATTGTCCTGTACACAGAAGTGCTGAGGAGCAGTGTGTTCTTCATGAGTTCACTGGATAATAACTATCACTGCCAGAAAAGGGACCACCTTGTTACACAAGGCTACACACAGGATTAAAAGTGTGTTTAACACTCTACATGTCTCAGTAAATGTGAGGCTCCACACATTAGGTTAGGGGTTGTTTGTTTAGCACTCTGCCTACATTCCCATATTATGTATGCTCCATAGATGGTCACGTGGTCAGGCACTGCAACTGATACAGCCTTGCACAGCCGGGTGACGTCATCCACAGAAACTCCGCCCACAACAGGTCCTTGCAGCAGCATCAGGTAAGGCGCTCTGTACTGTGAGGGTCCAGACTGTCCCACTCAGCACTGAGTTGGGGGGGGGGGGGATCTCTCTAGTATGACACTCGGAAACCGTGAATGGCTGGAGTGTTAACGGGACGCCGGGAAGTGTTTGTTTATAATAATTTCCTGAGTTCTCAGAGGGCCGAACGCCATGAGCCCACCCCTTCCCTGATCCAGGACACCCCTCTGCCTGTGACAGTAATGGCAGCTCCCATTCTGTGTGTGAACATTCCATTTAATGTGTATCTGTCTTGTTACATTGTATTTTGTAATTCCAGCTCCTTTCAGTATGGGCAATAACCAAACACATTCTGTTATAATAAACAGTAATGGAATGATAGCAGCTTCCCAGGACTGGACATTTCATTGTCTCTACCTGGGAGGATTGACTTCATTACTTGTGATTTAATAAAGGGCTATTCACCAAAAATGAGGATTGCTGTGAATGTCACATTTAAAGGGACACCTTGGTCACCCAGGACACTTCATCTCAATGGGTGCAGTGTCCCTGTCCTCTTAACCTTGCAATGTTATGGAGACTATATTTAAAAGAAGAAAAACTACCACAACAAGAGGACATAGTCTTAAATTAGAGGGGCAAAGGTTTAAAAATATCAGGAAGTATTACTTTACTGAGAGGGTAGTGGATGCATGGAATAGCCTTCCAGCTGAAGTGCTAGAGGTTAAAACAGTGAAGGAGTTTAAGCATGCGTGGGATATGCATAAGTCCATCCTAACTATTAGATAAGGCTAATTAAAAGTATTTTGAAATATCGGGCAGACTAGATGGGCCAAATGGTTCTTATCTGCCGTCACAGTCTATGTTTCAAAGTCACCTTTTCACTGCACAGAGAGGGAGCTGGTCACCTAAACAGCCACTTCAGCATGCATTCCTGACATGATAGTGATCCTTTAAGTCCACCTCTAATGGCTGACAGTATGGCAGCTACCTGAGGCGATAGTATGCTCTGCACTGACGAGTAAAATCTGGTCATGTGACAGGGAAGCCTTCATTAAAAATGCATTGATTCCATGCCTTTCTATGGGGAAAGTACATATGCACTAGGTCCCCAGTGCTCCTCTATGAGAAGCATCAGATTGGACATCAGCAGAGGAGGCGGATACGTAATAAAAACGTAGGGGGAAAAAAGGTAAGTAAAACTTGTTTTTTTAATTTTATTGGAAATAGGGATGGGGGACTTAATAAGAGTAGGGACAGGGACACTGCAGCGTCAGGAGTGCAGATTTGTAATCATAGCTCTATAGTGCTCCTTTAAAGCCAAGATGGGTAAACTGGAAACATCCTACGAGATAGCTATCCTTCTAGTGTAGGTACTTTTTCATTAATTTGTAATTCACTTTAAATTCCCGACAGTTCTCACTTTAGCGAATAACCGTATTAATTGCGTTGGAATGGGGGTTGGTGGTCTGCTCCAAAGGAAAACAGAAAAAGGGGTGCTCTATACCCCAAATGCATATTGCAAAGCCAAGCAGTATAATTCAAATATGTTTCCCTGACTGGTGCGTCACAAGTTTTTGTTTTTTTTACTTAAAACAGCACTGTCACACCCATATTCAAATTTAGTATTTCATAAAGATAGAATCAATACGAAATACTCATTATGACTGTTTTGGAATTAACTCAGATTCAAAAGATCTAAAGAGACAAAGTTGGCATATTTTCTCCACTTGATACTTCTTGACGCAAGGCGGAGCCTACGTGTCAGTCCCTGCAGCCGTAATCAGTGAGAGCTGCAGGCAATTGGCTGTGTCTATGGAGGATGCTGCAGTCTCGGAGAGGGTTTCCCCCATAAATATATCAATGCTGTACTCTCACACATGCGCAAGAGTACAGCAGTGACAGCGTGACCAAGATGGCGGCTCCCGCAAGGGACAGGTTCAGATAAGTAATCTGAACGTGGTAGCAGAAACATAACATTATATTACATCTCTGTCCAATCACAGCACTGTCTCCACACTTGGAATAAGAAATTCGAGGCCTATGCCACAAATCTGTTCTACTAGATAGTTAAATTATGGGTAGGAGTGGGTGTGTTTCCAGAGTTATGGCTACTGTTAGACATACCATTAGGTGTAGAATAATTGCAGTTGAGAAATATGATTTACCCCTAATCTAACAATTTCTCAAATCCTGACCTTAAAGGAACACTATAGTCACCTAAATTACTTTAGCTAAATAAAGCAGTTTTAGTGTATAGATCATTCCCCTGCAATTTCACTGCTCAATTCACTGTCATTTAGGAGTTAAATCACTTTGTTTCTGTTTATGCAGCCCTAGCCACACCTCCCCTGGCCATGATTGACAGAGCCTGCATGAAAAAAAAACTGGTTTCACTTTCAAACAGATGTAATTTACCTTAAATAATTGTATCTCAATCTCTAAATTGAACTTTAATCACATACAGGAGCCTCTTGCAGGGTCTAGCAAGCTATTAACATAGCAGGGGATAAGAAAATTTTAATTAAACAGAACTTTCAATAAAGAGAGCCTAAATACGGCTCTCTTTATAGGAAGTGTTTATGGAAGGCTGTGCAAGTCACATGCAGGGAGGTGTGACTAGGGTTCATAAACAAAGGGAATTAACTCCTAAATGGCAGAGGATTGAGCAGTGAGGCTGCAGGGGCATGTTCTATACACCATAACTGATTCATTAAGCTAAAGTTGTTCGGGTGACTATAGTGTCCCTTTAATGCCATATTTATGACTGCTTAATCAAGCTTCTAACAATCAATCTAACCACAGCTCTCACAGAAGACAGGAGCCAGTCTAGGATGATGGGTAGGCTCAAGAAAATAAGATGCAAAATTAAATATGGTGTCCAGATTAATAGAACACAGACAGTATGCAGTATTCACATACTGCAGGAATAAAACCAATCAACTCGGGGACCAGACAGAATGAGCTATAATTAACCCTAAAGAGATTGTCTAAGCAACATAACCTCTACAGCTCGATGTAGGTGTTATTCTGCCTATAAGCGTCTCTCCCCCTCTCCAGCTGACTTGATATTGTAAACTTTACATTTCGACAGCCAACCAGTAGCCTGTAACCGCGTCTGTGTAGAACGGCGCTGATACATTTAGCGGACATGGAATCGCTATCGTTATTTATGATAATGCTTACACAGAATAAATGGTAGACCGATTAGTGCTTGTCTTAATTTAATATTATTACTGCTATGTGCTTAGAAATAAATTCCATTAATTCATTTTAAATGTTCTTGCTACTCAGTAAATCCATTTACCTTTCCCCTGACAAATACTCTTTGCATCTCATGCAGACTGCTTTAAAATGGTGGAATTGGTGCACACGCTTGCGGATCACATCGATGATGTTAACAGCTGCACCTTCTCTGACTCTCTCCTTGCTACCTGCTCTTTGGACAAAACAATCCGAGTTTATTCACTAAACGATTTCAGTGAAGCCCCCTTTTCCCCACTGAGAGGCCACACATATGGAGTCCACTGTTGCTGCTTTGCTCCACATAGCCCCATCCTCGCAACTTGTTCAACCGACGGTAAAACGATTCTCTGGAGTATGGACAATGGACAGGTACGAGCCTCCTTTCAGCAACCGACCAGCAGCCCTGTGAGAGTCTGCAAGTTTTCCCCAAATTCCCTGTATTTGGCATCGGGTGCAGCAGATGGTTCTGTGGTTTTATGGAACGTTCCATTATTAAAAATTCATAGGTAAGCTTTAAAAATAAATCTTCCCGCAGTATGTTTGTCATTCTAGTGATATAAAGTTTCTCCAGGTTAAAGTATCTAGTTAGCCAAAACTTTAAAATATGCTAAGTATGCTACGGAAACGGGGCAGATATTTAAGTAGTTGGAGAACAGTGACAAATTTGCGCATCATAAAGATAAACAGTATATTTAGTTGTTACTACATTCCACCTCTCTAACACTGGGACCACTGCTGTCACTCTGGGTTTGTGCGTATTACAATAATGTAACAACCACCCCCTGGTTCTTTATTATACCCCACCCCAGTACAATATGATTGGCCCTACCTGAGGAACCTTTCCCAAGCACTACACACTACGCTCTTTCCCAAGCACACTCTCCTTGGATGTCAACGCACTGCCTCTTTTTGCCAGGAAAAAAAGTGTCTGAACATAGTGACTTCCTAGATTTCTCTAGTAGAGTGTGAGAGAAATAGTCACAACAACTACAGCGCATGATTTATAGTTCCATTGACAGAGAGCAGAATTGGGATATATCCCTGTGAGGGGAGGACACTGTTTTTATTTAAAATGTTCTTTAAATCTGTACATTTGCTAGGAACGTATTTTCCGCTTTCATTTAAAGCAACAATGTGTGTACAAGGACAAGTGCACTTTACAGGGACACCTGAATCCAGATAGTCATTTATATTATTTGTATAAGTTATGGTGGAAGGAAGTCATGATCACAGTCTACCTTATGGCCTATAACCACCAGTTTGCGTGATAAAGGCTCCAGCAGAGAGCCGAAACGTTGCCTTGAATCAATAAAGACTGCTCACTAACAGCTCTCTGAGTGCCCAGACGCCTTTCTATCTAAATGTGCATCATAAGCTGGGTTTTTAAACCTGAACTTTCTGATATTAAATTGTTGATCTTGGCTACTAAGAAACCAGCAATGTTTGATAAGCTTATCTTCTCTTGGACATATAACAAGCCGTATACCATTCATTTCCTGCCTGATATCTAATGTGCTACTTTCAGTAATGCAATTTGTCAGTTACATATTTAATTTTTAAATACAGTCTGCAATGCAGAGTCAGTGTTTTACACTAACAGAATAACAAAGTTCACATATGGAAAACCGATAAAATAGGATCCATACATAATGATGTAGAAGAATTGCGGATTAAGAGTCTAACAGGAGAAGGAGGCAATCGAGACAGAAGATTTAGCTGTAGCTGGAGATGTTAGAGAGAGAGAGGTCTACCTGGAGGCTGGGGTAATGAAGACAAAAGTGCTTGCATGAACTGGGAACTTTAGAGGCAGGCGTTGAGGGGAATGCATGGAGAAGGAAGGTTAGATTGTGTCTGGAGAATTATTTAGAGAGGTAATGTAGCTAAAGTTAAAGTAGGTGAAATCAAATGACCCAAGGTGTAAGATTAAAGCAGCTCTGTAAATGTTTTCCAGGGCCTTTGTGTATTTTGCATAAGCTGATGTTCCCAGTCTACTTGTGGCAGCTGAAGGGTGTTCTATGTACCTGAAGCTCTGCTTCTTGCGCAACGCTATCCTCTTTTTAGAAACTCTGGCAGCTCAAGAATTACATAACTGCAATATTCTCCTGCAAAAGTGATGGTAGGAGCCGCACTCAATCCCAGCAGCCACTCGTTGCTCCAGAGAAGGGACCAGCAATCCCACAATGACAAGGCAACAAAGAAATTCCCCAGGCACTCAAGGTGTTAAAGCCGCAGGCAGTTTTACTGAAACAAAAAGAACAGCAACGTATTCTCCAACATATTTCAGAGTATGAGAGTACAACACTGAGGTCTTTAGACATCCAGGGAGACCACAGGATCTTCCATACACCAACTCGTGCCATGCGTGACACAAAGCCTTTTCCCACAGCGATCGCTAGCAACAGCTATGACATTTGACAAAGATGACAATGGAAGCTCTGCCAACTTGAGCTTTACCCATAAAACAAAATATTCCCTGCTTTGTCTTATATCTCTTGATTGTATTGGACTTTCAGTGAATTCCCTAGGTGGTTAACATAGGTATTTTTAAAAGCTAAAGATTTTGTCTTTATGAAATACTTAAATAATGACATGATGTGACTGGCTACCTTTTTTACATTTTTTTTTATATTTTTTAAAAAGCTTTATTGTAGATAAAAGTTGTACAATACCACAGCAAATGTTCAGGTCATACAGGTTCTGTTTCTGTGACACAAGTCAACAATAAATGAAAATTAGTTACAGCTCAGGGTGGTACGTCTCATCAAGGATATTATATCTGGTACTCAGTCAGGTATCATTCATTTGCAGTTGATAATTCTACAAGTGAATCATGTCATATTTAGGGCTTGGGGTATGTATGTGCCTGAATGTGTGGTAGGGATATTGTTTAAGGTTGAGTTCAGATGGTGGCCTTAACCCACAAATGGATGAATATACTTGGATCGTTGGTAGGTTATTGTTATAGCAATATATAACAGTGGGTGAGCAGTGGAAACATAAAACAGGGTACAGTAAACAAGAAGTATAGAAGTATAAGATCTAGCGATGAGGTCAGAGTGTGTTGTAGTGGAGCCTGAACTCCAGTCAACGACAAGACCCACATGATCGCGTCTGCTAACAAGCGGTCCATGTAGTGTCGGTCGGAGACCAGTAGAGCAGGGGGTCCACGACGAGCAAGTAATAAGAGTGGGGAGACCGGAGAAGGGCGGACCTGTATGGCTTAAAAGACCACTATAGTCAATGAAATGGTCTGGGTGCCAGGTCCCCCAGGTTTTAACCCTTCAGATGTAGAGAAACTGCTATGTTTACATTGCAGGGTTAATCCAGCCTCTAGAGGCGCTTCCCGACGCTCAATGCGAACATCGCATTGAGCACACAGAACGTCCATAGGAAAGCATTGAGAAATGCTTTCCTATGGGTGTTTTTAATGGGCGCGCGTGGCTGTTGCCACACACACGCATTCAGTTCCACTCAGGAGTTGACGTCGGAGGGGGAGGAGAGGTCACCAGCGCATAGGGAGTCCAGCGCTGGATAAAGGTAAGTGGCTGAAGGGGCTCTGAGGGAGCCTGGTGCTGGATAAAGGTAGGTGGCAGGAGCCGGAGGGGGGGACCTAAGGATTGTATAGTGTCAGGAAAACAAGTTTGTTTTCCTGACACTATAGTGATCCTTTAAGGCAGGGGTGTCAAACATGCAGCCCCCCAGATGTTGCTGAACTACAACTCCCATGATTCTTTCAATGAAACCGATAGCCAGGGAATCATGGGAGTTGTAGTTCAGCAACATCTGGGGGGCCGCATGTTTGACACCCCTGCTTTAAGGCCTGTTGGAGGGTGGTGTGGCATAGATGGGCATGGAAAGCAGGGGTGATAGGGTATTATTCTGTCATAAAGCTTATCCACGGCCCCCATACCTCTTGGTAGAGTGAATATTTGTGGAAGATGGGAGCGTGGATCTCCTCTATAGTCTTAATTGCATCTACTTTAGTGATCCATTCCCTGACGGATGGAGTGTTGGGATTTTTCCAATTTACTGGAATGAGTAAGTTGGCAGCTGTGAGGACGTGAGTAAGGAGAATACGTTGTTGCTTGGGGAGGGGGCAGGGGAAAATCAGGAACACTAATGTATGTGGTGTAAGAGGGAGCTGGAATCCTGTCATTATTTTGGTCATTTTTACTATGTTTGGTCCAGTACGTCTTGATCAGCAGGCAATGCCACCAGGTCTGTGCTAAGGATGCCCCAGGTTGGGAGCACTTCCCACAAGCGTCTGGTGTGTTTGGAAATAAGTTGTGTAGTTTGGATGGAGAGTAGTGCCACCTGGAGATTCTCTTATAACCACTTCCCTGTACATTGTTGCATATTGAGGCTGTGTGTATTTGCCTAAAAACAGATTTCCATTGCGATGTGGTAAACTGGATATTGAGATCTGTGGCCAAGACTGAAGGGGCTTAAGTTATTGGCATGATCTGTTTGGAGAAGTTTGTAGAATGTTGAGAGTTGTTTCGATTTGACATTGTGGGTCGTGCAGTGGAGCTCAAAGTCTAGAAGGGTGTGGGAACCTTTAAAAAGGATAGGGTTGGCAGTCAGGTAATTTGTGCAAAATGGAAAGATTGCAATATGTTCCAGGTGTCTGGACCGACTATACTGGAGAGGGACCTTATGGCATTTCCATCTAAGGGGGAACCTAGTGTAAGGTAAAGCATGTCAGGAGATCATTGAAATTGTTGGTAGAATATGGCTTGCAGTCCTGGTGGGAAGAGTGGGTTGTGAGTTATACGATATAGGGGGGACAGGTGAGGAGAAATGTGCATGGAGTCTCTTACGTGTGCCCATATCCGGAGCGTGGGGAGGATGGTGGGATGAGTGGTGTGGTGGGTGAGCAGTGTCGAGGGGTTCGCCTTTTGCCACGGGACTGTGTGGAGAGGGACTTGGAACATGGAGCTTTCTAGTAGTATCCACTGCCTGGCAGGTGAGGAGATGGAACATTCATAGATTCTGGATAGCATATTGCTCCATGTAGGGGACTCTCAGTCCACCACTGTATTTGTGTATTTGGGTCAGGACATCATAAGGAATTCTAGGCTTTTTATGTGCCCAGGGTAGTGAAGAGTTGTCTAAGCTTGGTGAAGAAGGATTTGGGTGAGGCTATGGGCAGATTTTGAGTGTGTTCATTTTGAGGATATTTATCCTGCAGAGCCAGTTGAAGTGCAGTTTATGCCATGTCGTCAGGTCTTTTAGATATGGATTGGAAGAGTGATTCAAAGTTTAAGTCAAAGATGGATGTTGGGTCCGCTGATAGTCGGACTCCTAAGTAGGTGATCGCTTTATCTGCAAGAATTTTCAGGGATAATTTTTTTCAAGTTGTGCAATGTGAGGAGGGATTTTCACAGTGATAGATAAGGAGTCCCATGTGATATCTATAATATGAAAGACAATCTGCAGATGTGCTAAAAAATTTGATGACAGAAGAATTATGTTGTAAGTTCTGGTAAGAGCAAGGAGGCTGGCTGGAAGAGTATTTAGAAACCGCTTACAAAGTACTATCCATGTGGTATAAAATACTACATAAGATGAAAACAATCGATCATTCTCATGATGGTCTTTGTTGGAGATGCCATGCTCCAATATAAAACGTCTTTGGAAAACCGTTCATGCCATTATTCAGATGATCATTGATAATCTCCCTCTTTTTAACCCATCAGTTCTCCTATTTCAGTTCCCCTAAAGGTACAAAAAGTTCTCCACCATTAAAATCCTTAACATAGCTAAACAACTGATGTCCTTTATTGGTAAAAAAAGATGGAGGAATTGGGACTGATTGAGGAACTTAGATTTAGAGTACAAGCCAGAATCCAGGTATATACAGGTATTGGACCCAGTGGCTGACAACCTCCTTTTCGGTAGACTATCAACAATTCTTGACTTGACATCTGGTTCCTCAAATCTTCTGCCCTAATGGGTTTTTAAGTGACATGCGATTTTGGCCTGTGTGTCCTTCGCAGTTCCCTTTACAGGTCACCAGGTGCCTGTCTTTTATTTAGTTGTTGATTTAGCTTTAGTCTCGGTTGAGCCACCAGCTTCATTTCATCAGATTGTTCTTAGTAAGTTAACACACCTTCTCCTGCGTATCGAGGTCTGTGTTTTGTTCTATTATTCCCTGAAAGTCAGCATGCCTGAGCTCGCTATTTAGGACTTGCAGGTCACTTACCATTTTATAAATGATAAACACAAGTTGACAATACGTTCCACAGTTCCACAGTGCTTCATAGTTTTAAAAAGGGATATAATGGCAAATAAGAGAGACTACTATAACTGTTTACAGGAACTTATATTAACGAGGGGACTTCTCAAACAATGGTATTAACAATTCAAAATGGAAAAACCTGATGAAAAGATTAGATTTGAAGGTATGTTGCCAGTATTAAGCTAACAAATGAAGGAAGACATCCAAAGAAAATCTGTGTAGTGGGAAAGTGAAATGCCGTGTTGAGACAATAATTATTTTTGGAGAGACGGGGAGAAAGGTATAATGAGTGAAAATTACCCTGGGAAGATAAGCTTGTCTAAAGTGATAAGTTGTAAGAGACATCTTAAAGACCTGGGGACATGGATAAAGTCTGATAGGGTAGGCAAGCTGTGCCATAGGAATGGAGCTGTCATTGAGAAATCCTGTCGTGGAGAATTCACAGTGCGAGAGCAACCAGAAGACAAGAGAAGGGCACTACGAGGGACCACGAAGGTGTGTAGTCTTTATTTATGAAATGTAATGGGGGTGGAGTTGTTAAGAGCTTTATAGGTAAGTGTTAACATTTGGAATTGATCCAAAATGCTATGGGAAGACAGTGAAAGGAAACACAATGTCACAGCATTCTAACCTGTAAAGTGTGATGGAGATTGCAATGATGACGTTTTTAAACCAACATTCCATTCTTTTTCCAGATCAAGCAGTGTGAAGGATGGGTCACTGGTGGCATGCACATTTTCTCCGGATTCAAAACTTCTTGTAACCGGTTCGTCATGTGGGGACTTGACAGTTTGGGACGAGAATCTGAGATGTTTACACAGTGAGAAGGCGCATGATCTAGGTGTGGCATGCTGTGACTTTGCTGCACAACCAATAGCTGGTCAGTATTTTATTTTTGGCTTTTGTCATTAGTGACATACAGATGTACACATGCTAAGCTATCATTTGGGCAAGTTATAATATTTACAATGTTGGTAACTCTCTAAGCCAGCCATGTTTGCGATTTGGTTATTTTATCTAAAATTTTGTATTTTTGACATTACCCAGTCTATTTATTCGAACAAGCTGACATCATCTTTGTGTCACCTTGTCAGGTGCTGAACGTGGCATGGAACATTTCCAGTTGGCATCTTGTGGCCAAGATAATGAAATCCGATTGTGGCTGATCTCTTACAGCGGTGCAAAAGGTAGAGGTCTTAAAGTACATGTGCTGTTTACTCTGTCTAGATCACTGCAGTCATTACTATTGCTTAGTGATACCAACAAAATATATAGTCTAATTTGATTTGAAAGACATGTCAGTGTTTTGGTTATCTTTTTTTTAATATAATTTTTATTCAGTTTTTCATGTAAGTCATTTTAATAACACTCATTCAGATTTCCATTAAATATTTAAGTGGTTTTTTTATTCCTTTAAATGTTTTGTGTTTTTTGTTTTTCTTTACCAACGTATGTTTTTTTAAATTCTTTATTTTTTAAGTGCACTGTTAAATACATAGGTCAGTGAGTACAATTGATATTACATTTAGTAGGCAATTGGTAACCTTAACCGTAACAGATTCAGGATGCGCTGCACTTTTTTTTTGTGTGAAGAAAACAGGAGTAAACATAGACAGGCATAGCAGAATGAAAGTAACTAACAGGCTATACATGCTGCCTATACCACTTTAGTTTCATTATAATGTTGGGTTACAAGCTAGTGTTGAACTGTGAACAAGTGCTATCGTCATGCTTTACTAACTAATGTAAGTGCCACCTGGCGCTGGTTGCTTTAAGTTATAGATTATCTGCCCCAAGACAAGAGAGGAACGTGGTAACGGGGGGCCACCTATGTAAGACATCACATTTTTAACCCATGCCCGTCTCACATATAGCACTGCTGCGACTAAAATAAGAGCTCAGGTCTCGCAGTTTTGCAGTACACCTGCCCCTGGCTGTAGTATAGTCCAGCTCCCCAGTCTTCCATGCCCCATTTTGTGTTGCGGTCAGGGCTTTGCTTCGTGTTCGTCCGACCGGCAGATCACTCTTGGGTGTGAGTTGTCTTTGTGGAATTGTCCTATTGTGGACCCTGGCCCGCATGGGTAGTGTTCTGTAGCAGGATAGGGCTAGTAGCTTCTAAGTGTCTTCGCTTCATGGGCATCTGGGCCGCTGCAGATTTGCGCCTGTCCGGTCCTGAGGGGTCAGGTTGGGATGTAGCAGTTGCTGCTGCAGATTTCTCCCTTTGACTTTGGGTCGGAGACCAGAGCCAAAGGTGATCAAATAGCTTGTTTATCTTCCTGTGAGGCCCACTTCGTGGATGCCCGGGAACCTTTAGACGTCTTGCTTAGTGTGCGTGGTGCCAGGAGACAGCCCAGCGGGGACTGCCATTTCCTGCTTGGGTGTGCGGATCAGCACCTTGGCGGGGACCGGGATAACCCCCCCGGGTCCAAAGGGGGGGGAAACAGGGCCGGTGAGACGATCCACCACGGAACCGCATCAGACGGTAGGTAGGTGAGGCGGCGGCCGTCCATCCCACCCCCCACTTCGGTAGGCCGCAGGCTCCGGATGCACAATCTTCTAACAGGGCTTCACAGTATCCAGACCGGAGCCTCGCTGGTCATACAGTCCGCCGCCGTGTTACATCAGGTAGCTTATTGTTAAAGATTTAGTCTTGTTTGACCTTAATTAGGGCAGAATAGATGAGAGCAGGCAGGAACTCAGCAGACTTGCGACCCGCCAGCATGGTGGTCCGGCCCCGCCCCTTCCCAAAGTATGTTTTATATTGTATGTTTCTGGCAAAATTTCATAGTGACTTTTTTACTTTCATTTATGCCATGGTGCAACACTGTGTCTATTTAAACTAGTTTACTTACAAACATTTCCTGTTATCTGTGTTTGATTGATTTAATAAGTGGAGTGAATTCAACCTTTATTTGTTTATTTTTGTTTAGGTCTTGAAATGAGGTGTAAAGACACCTTAAGCGTGCACTCTGCTCCTGTTCTTGCCTGCGCCTTTTCTAACAATGGTGAAATTCTTGTATCAGGGTAAGCAATCTCTTTACATATGAATTGCTTTAAAAATGGTTTGTCTTATCCGCACTGTGTGAGCGATAATCAGTGCATAATTATCTTAACAGGGATGGTATTTACTAAACTATGATACTCTTGACCAGGGGTATAAATGTCAACTTACTCTTTGGCCACTGGCCAACCCGTTTTCTACCTTTGGAGCTGCAGATCCATATTCCCAGATGCACATGCACACACAACCTGTCATGTAAAATTGCATAGAAGTGTTCAGAGACAGTCAACTCCAATGTAAGAACAAACACAATTTTGTTTTCTGTGTCTTGGATGCACATTTGGGGGGCATCCTTAACTTATGCTAGGACAAACATACCATCTTGATGTGTTGTTTTTTTTTTACCAAAGGGGTGTGGGTTGTTGGAATTGTATGTCTATAAATCCAGATTAGATAAAGGAAATCAAACCAGCTGACTTAGCTTGTCCACAGCAAATAGCTTCATATGATGAATTGCTCACTTTATGAAAGCAGGCACGGTATCTCCTGATATAACAAAGTAATGGTTTATTTATTTGTTACTGGGATTGATAAAGTACCAACACATTCCGCAGCTCTGTACAATCGGGAGTTCCATCTAAAATTTACTGTTGTGGGTATCGCATTAGTTTTCTCGCACTCGTTGGATAATTTTGTATATTTGTCTTTTTTTTTTGTCTCAAGATTTGTAATGCTATTACTCAGTTATTCTCAATTCCCTATGGAATGAATAACTGCAACCTTTTGACATTGTCAGAGTAATTTGCATAGATGAACACTAGAGGGCCACCGTAGCAATACTATGAATGCTTGCAAAGTAAATACACGACTCCGTGCAATTCTTATTTTCTTATTTTTTTAAAAGTACTTTTCGACATGTACTTGCTTTGTATTTTTTTATTTTTTTATTATCCTAACTAAGAAAAAAAAAAAAGTACACCGGCAAAAATCAGTGTACAACTTTGCTGTTCTGATCTGCTCTGCTTCAACATATGAAAAATTATCAGCTAATTGGACTGAACACTTTAATTTGGCACGTGAAAAGCAATCGTGTAAAAACGGTAGGTTTGGGGGAAGGAAAGAAGAATGTAGAGATAAAAATAGAAAAATAAGATGTGATGGAAAATAGACGTTTAGGGGAAAAAAAACATAGAATAAAGTTGAGGGGGAGAAGACACAAAAAAGAGGAGATATCATGACAGGGGAGAAAGAAATACAGCACTGTGTGTAAAACCTGGAGATAGGATTAAAGGGCATGAAATGAGTGGGAGATTCGGAGTGAAGGAAAGACATAGGATGAGAAAGCTAAAAAAAAAAATCACAGTGCAATGTATGATAAATATTTCTATCGAGGCACCAAATCAATTTCTGCCGATGTCTGTCTCGGGGGTACCTCGCTCACTGGTTGGGGACAGAGGCTCTTACATCCTACTGTAGAGTGGTTTGGCTTAACAAGATGAGGGGTTGGATACTCAAAGGAAGTCCCAAGCTCATTCCGAGGATTTTGTACACATCTATGCTTTGCACAGCACTGTTGGTTAGAAACGTAAATATTAAGATGCTTTGATCATTGTTTGTCATCTAGTTGATCATAGTTGTAATTTAGAACCAGCTCTGTCTTGCTAACTCATTTAGCCTTTCTACGATGCATTACTGCACTTGTATGCATAATTTTTTACCTGTTTTGATCGACATGAAAAATGAAAATAAGGATTGTAAAAAAAAATTATAATAATTCTGCCGATGTCCCTCCTCCCGCCTCCTTGTGCTCTTGATTTGTCTCTGTTTAAAGGATGGGATGTGAAGAGTTAAAAATGTCCAGCACCACTGCTAATTTATTATTTAAAACATATGTTAATGTTTCCCAGGAATCAGCTGAATATTAGTGGAACATGTCCATTTTGGAATTATGTGAGAGACAAGACCAGACAGAATTGTGTAGCTCTGTAGTTTGGTGGTTGATAAAACAGCAATTTTTTCCGCATTGTAATTTTACTTTGTGTTCTTGTAATTCACTCCTTATTTTACACCCCCAAATCTCTCCTTGCTCATACCACATCCTGCCGTCTAGAATGCACCAGTACTCGGTTATAAGATGGAAATGGTTCTGTATGCAACCAAAACCCTTTCACAGCCTGATTTAGAGCCTTTTAAAAAAATTGTTTATTGAATACAGTTCATTGAAGTTTGAGACCGTGTGTGATGTATGCTGTTTCTATACTTCATAAAATAGTTGTATTTCCCTCTAGATAAGCATCTCTTTATCTAGCCAGCTTGTAACCTGATGGCAGTCCTGTTTATTGTACATCATTTTTTATTATGCATTGCATAATAAGGAGCATATTTTGTAATCGAGTTACTCAAATACTTACCTTACTTGTTAATTTCCTGTAGTTAAAGATAAACTTTGCAGGTTTTGTTATTAAATTAACCCCTTTTTTTGGGTCATCTATTTTTCCTTGTTTTTATTTTTTTGAAATTCACCTTAATGCTTTAGTTACACATAAGGAAAAGTATAGACTACTTTTTCCAACAAGGTGCGTGATTTTGGCAAATTTAGGCAACGGGTGGAGCTTAAACAAAGTTCCATTTCATTTGCTAAAGTAATTTACTTACAATCCATCACTTCAAAGAATCCCACAGAATGGCAAACTGCAGGCATTATGGACGGAGCGGAACAAAATGGCCGCCCCCAAGTATTGAGATCCAGCACAAGGAAGAAAAGTTATTAAATATAATTAATGGCAGGTGGCAAAGAGGTAAGTATAGTCATTAACATTCAAGGAGCATAAAGAAAGGAAAACTGAAAGAAACAAAAACATATCAGAGCTGCTTTAAGCTGCTACATTTTTGGTGCTGAGCTGCAAAATCAGGGTCTTTCAGCTGCATAAAAATTACCAATATGACTGCCTTGCGTGCATTCCTCGGTGCACAATAAGCATTCTTGGATGCACTTTGCAGAATTTGTGTACTAATGAATGCGTACATATATTTGTATCCACTATGTTGGCACACTAGCTTCAGGTAAGTATATTTTGATCGCTGCCAATTTTGCCAGTCTATAGCATACATTCGTTAACCTACCTGCTAGTTATCTTGTCGCTATTAGCATGTTTTGTGGCAACAGATCCTCTGTGAGATGAAGTGGGGAGTGTTTCTCGCTGTCTTTGTAGCGCAGTACTAATCTGGAGGGGAAAAAACACTTTACATGATCTCTTGTTTATACTCTAGTACAGCACACGTCAACGCTTTCAATATATACTGCATTTAAGAACATAATTTTCAACAGCTAAAAAGCAAATTTGTCTAAAACCTGTTGTGTAATAATGTATCATGAGGGCAAACATTGCTTAATACCTTGTAGTATGGCACAGTTACAGCGCACGGCTAGCTCTCATTGTGCTTCCAAACATGCCATTACCAGTAGGAGATTATCCCATGTGTATCACACCAATCCCATCCCCGTGAGTGCTTCACTTACCATTATACATGGCAAATCCCTCTGCACAGGGAATACAGCCTTCCTAGATATATATGAACTTGTCAGAGGCTTCATCTGTCAGGTCCATAACTGTCACTCTTTAGTCTTGGACACCCTTTAGAATGTGGAAAGCATACTGTAAGATTAAGTGGAAAACCAGTATGATAGAAGCAGAATGACCAAAAGTGGCTGACGCACAGTATAAGTGGGACGAGCAGAAATCCAGTCTAAATCATCATCTGGAAGTGCAACATTACCTGTACAGGGGATTTGCCAATCATTTTGGATACTTTACAAAAATGTTGTCAAAAATACTCTAGCCAATTTGATTCTGGTAATCTGGTGGAAATTCGCTATTTTGTAAGAAATGTAAAGAGCTCTAGCAGTAATGCATTCTCGTGATGCCATATGTTTGTGTTTTCATTCTTTTATTACTCTGTTCAGTGAAGTGATCCATAGTTGTCTGCTTACACTTAAAGGGACACTATAGTCACCAGAACAACTACAGCTTATTGAATTTGTTCTGGTGAGTACAATTATTACTTTCAGGCTTTTTGCTGTAATCACGGTCTTTTTTAGAGAAAATGCTGTGTTTACATTACAGCCTAGTGATAACTTCACTGGCCACTCCTCAGATGGCTGTTAGAGATCCTTCCTGGGTCGTGGCTGCCTAAAATGCATCCAAACATTCAGTGTCTCCTCTCTCTGCTTGCAGACACTGACCTTTCCTCCTAGAGATTCATTGATTCAATGTATCTCTATGAGGAGATGCTGATTGGCCAGGGCTGTGTTTGAATCATGCTGGCTCTGCCTCTGATCTGCCTCTGTCCGTCTCAGCCAATCCTATGGGAAAGCACTCTGATTGGATCAGGCTATTCTTATGATGTCAGCAGACTGCTTGTGTTTTTTTTTTTTTTTTTTAGGCAAACAGCATGCAGATCTGCAGCTTCATGCTTGAATACAGTAAGATTTGTACTATATTTATGGAGGCATGAGGGGCCCAGTGGGGCTAGCTGGTGATTTTAACACTATAGGGTCAGGAATACATGTTTGTGTTCCTGACCCTATAGTGATCCTTTAATGCTTGACTTGTAACTTCTCTAACTTCAGAGACATTTATTCACTAAACCAGTATTATGGTGGATCGGTAAGGAAATTGCACATTTGGTTTAAAATGTAGAAATTGGAAATATTGCCAAACTTAACTGTTTTTCCCCTGGTCAATTCGCTACAATTTCCTGGTTTAGAGAATAAACTTCTTAGCTTGCAGGAATACCTTAAAAATAATATCTACAAACTATTTAACCCTAGAATGTGTGTCAGTGTGTTGTCGCTGTATAGTTTTGCACACCTCTTTCTGGTATAAACAAGGTTAAACATTTTAAGCAAACCTCTGTTCTCAATAACATTTCCTCAACATGTGTCTCTGGTTTGTGGTCATTTGGTGACATTTTTTCTGGTTTGTGGCTACTGCGAGTCCCCACCCGTGCCCATGTGTTTCCTGCTTATGGACAAATACAGAACTTATTTTCTTGACTTTGTGGAAAAGAAAAAAACAAAAAACTGGCAGTGTCTTTTGTAAAGTAGTGTTATGTAGCGAGCATGTTACAGAGAGGACCAGAACACACGCAAAACTGCAATAAACAATAAAAAACAAACAGTGACAAAATGGATCTGTTCAGCCATAAGGAAACTGTGGTGTTATTTTTAGTAACTGTACAAACACTCCCACAGGGAATGGATCTGTACTAATAAAATAGAGCTATGCACATCATCAGGGAGTAGACCAATAATATGCTAACCTGGTTGGCTTAGAGGCATTTCAGAAAGTCGGATAATTTTAACCACTTAAAAGGGGACTGTGACTTCAGAGTTAAAATAGATGTGTCACTAACTTACTCCCCTGGGTACCAGCCAAGGAATTCCTCTAGATGGCCTCCGTAAACCGCCACAACCAGTTTTGGTCCTGGGACTGCTGCAAATGTCCTTTTTCAATGTTGCACCTTTTTCCGTGTGATCTTTTTTTCATGCCGCCATTTTCTTTGAGTTTCTATGATTGTGGCCGACTGTATTTCCATTCTGCCCTTCCTTGGTTGTGTGTGTCACATTTCGTGCATGCATGGACCTGTGTCGACTCTCATAAACAGGTGCAAGTCAACACAGAGGGTCCGTGATGGGCCGCCATTGACACCGTTGACCGAGGCAATGCTCCACACATTATCAATTTTTGTTATCCTTTAGTCCCTACTTTTGTTTATGTATAATTCTGAAAATAGCATTGTTTAAAAAAAAAAAAAAGAGGGCAGCAAATTAGGCATTTTGGACATGCCAGTGACAGCTGCTTTGAAGAAGAAATTTTACTTGAGGGGTATTTACATTTTTGGCCACTTGCTTGGCAGTATCAGAGGGTGGAGAAAGGGAAGAAAGATATAATTACCTTAATCTCTTTCATATATGCCATCTTCTGATTTAGGTCCATCGTCCGCTTCCTGCAGCTGAATACACCAGGAGTCACAACACAAACTGAAGTAGTCTAGAGCGTTTGCAAGAGTAGGAACTATGGTCCTGTAAAAGTTTTTGCAAGACCAAGAATGAGATACCATAGGCACCTGTTGTGTGTCATATGAGAAGAAACTTGCTCCCATCAGCTGTTGTAATTGACGTCTAATGGGAAAACGCAAATAGGCAAGTTGAATATCTTTTTAGATGTCTGTATTTTGCCATTATTTAATGCAGAAATGAGGCAAAGAAGTTTTGTCCTATAGTATATTTTGCATACACATACACAGAGTATCTGAGATACATTAATGCTTTCCGTAGTGATAGAAACGAGGTAACATTTATGTTGTGGTATAGATTACATTATTATAGGATACCCTTGAAGGAAGAGTCTTCATATTGCTTAATCTTTGCTGCAAATAGTATCAAAAGGCAGATTATGTCGCCTTTTCAATATCAGTTTGGGTAATATACCCTTGTGAGGTTTTATTTTAAAGCAAGATGTAATTTATGTCATGTGGGATAAACAAGGTTTTTAATGTATGTATCTATCTTGATATGTTTATATTAGACATGGCATGTTTAATGTATGGAAAAATATTTCAGATTCTCCTTTTCCAAAACATTGCGCAGTTAGTCAAATGGGCAGACCCTGGTGTAAACATTTACCGTTATCACAGAACATGCTGTACAATCACCCTGGGAAGGTAACGCTTGTTCACAAACAAAAATTGAGAGTGTGCATATAATTAATAAGTGATGTTTTTATTCACACATCCCCTTCTCAAAGAATACATTTATGGTTCGATTTAAATCCCAGGAAAACCCCAAAAGTGGGGTAAAAAAAAAATCTCAAACCTCCAAAACAATGTGACCGTGATGAAGACTTTAGGTCGCGTGTTGGCAGGTGCATTTTGGGTAAATATCAGTACCTGCCAAAATGTTTATTAAGAGGGTGGAATGTTTGGTGTGCCCAAGGGAAGCCCAAGCTTGGACGATCGCTAACACACAGTTTCTGGAAATGTATTCAATTTTTCATTATTAAAAAGAACTGAATTAGAAATGCAGAGTTTTATTTTTCATTACAGCCAGTTGTTTTATATCATATAACCCCTATTTTCTTCTCCATTTTTATTTAGCTCTGTGGATAAATCCGTAATCATTTACAAAGTTGTAAGTATCACACAATCTCTATTGATAGAGTGAGTAAACATGTTTAAAGTATTAGTTTAGTTTTCAGTTTTTGTAATATATGATTTAATGATATAGTCCACTGTCCAACCCTGGCTTATACCCTAATCTTTCTATTTAGATGTCCCCCAGAATGATTAGCGTATAGGCCAGGGTTTTGCAGTGGACTGCGACTCATCATATTTTGCATGACGAGAGCTGCATTTTGGCAGGCTGCTTATTGTTTACTTATTGTATGTCAACAATACATTCATTGTTTCAATATTACTATGTAATTAGGTAAACACTTAAAGGGACACTATAGTCACCAAAACAACTTTAGCTTATTGAAGCAGTTTTGGTGTATAGATCATACCCATGTAGTTTCACTGGTCAATTTACTGTCATTTAGGAGTTAAATCACTTTTTTTTTTTTTTTTTTTCTTCAATGCATTTTTTTATTGAGAGTGTCAGACAAATAGAAATACAAAACATACATTGAATATCAATGAGTAGGTTTGTGTATAATTGAAATAGACAGCCCTCGGATTTAAATCTCTGCAGCTCTAGCCAAACCTCCCCTTGCTGTAACTGACACAGCCTTCGTGAATACAACATATTTTCATTTCCTTTCATCAGTTGTTAACTTGCTTTAAAAGTTTTTATATCCTGCTTTGTAAATTGAACTTTAATCACACACAAGAGGCTCCTGCAGGGTATGGCACGCTCTTAACAGAGCAGGAGGTAAGGAAATCTAAATTAAACAGGATTTGCAATAAAGAAAGTATAAACATTAGATGACTCTTTACAGGACGTTTTAGGGAGATTCTGCAAGTCACATGCAAGGAGGTGTGACTGGGGCTGCATAAACAAAGTGGTTTAGCTCCTAAATGGCAGAGAATTGAGCAGTGATGTTGCAGGGCATGTTCTATACACCAAAACTGTGCTAAAGTCTGTCACATGACCTTCTTGATGTTTTGGCTAAGAATATTTATCTAGAAGTTACTAGAAGGGCCATTTATATCGCTTGCACCCAAACATATGAATACATGGTAAGTGTTTTTTTTTTTTAATGGAAATACATTACCAATACATTTGTGTTTTTTCAAAGTAACCAATAATTGTGAATACTGGTTAAAAAATATTCCCATGAATGTGGGTGGCAAAAAGAGAATTGTCACTTTATGTTCCCATGCCCCTGATCACAGGCCGTAAGCTTTAGAGTAATAGATATTCAATGCTACCAAACATTCTATTGTTCAACACAAGGAGAAGGAGCGGCTATTTTATTGTCATATTATATGCTCCTGTGTTCCGACAAAGAGACTAATACCCGCATGATGTCAGTACATATATATATATATATATATATATATATATATATAATACATATGTTTAGCTGGATGTTCTGGAGGGTGTTTTGCAAATAGTAAAGCCTTAATTAAACTGAAAGCCTTTTTTTCTTTTTATAACTGTGAATATAATATTTTAATTGCTAAATGTGTGTTTTTTTTTTTAATATACCTTAATCCCCAGATCATTGTCAGCAGCCTTGTGGTATAAATATCAATTTCAATGTCTATAAATCTGGCAGATTTGGATAGGACACTGTATAAACAAAATGGAATTGTTAGCAGATTTGTTTTACAGTTTGTCTTATTTGCCGAATTATTGTATTCTCTCCTTACTACAGTCCCACTGTGAATAAATGATATTAGACCCCTGCTCCTCATTTTTTAATTTTATTTCCTTTTTCCCCAGAAAAGTCAATGTATTGTTCATATCCTGACTCATCACACACGGTAAGTATTTTAAGTAGAGTCCTTGATTTTTCTAATGCTTATTTACTTGTATTGTGAACAAGAGAACAGCAGTTTGTTTGTTGAACCCCAGGCTCTGCTCAGTTCTGAGTGCTGAAGCAGAGAACAGGTCAGGTATTGACTTATTTACCTTAACCCCTTAATGACACAACTTCTGGAATAAAGGGGAATCATGACGGAATATTTCCATCATGTGTCCTTATGGGGTTAATATGGAAGCTATGTGTGCGCTATAAATTCTGCGTTTTTAGTTATATGAGCGCTGATTGCTTTTAAGTCCTCTAAGTACAAAGCATTCTAAAGAATAAAAAGGGCATATAAAAAGGCGGGAGCCTGATGTTGTGGGAGGAATTATCCGGCCTATATTACCTGGATAACTTCCCGCCTTACCTGTCGTCGCTTCTTTGAAGTTTCCCTCCCATCTCTCCCTCTTGTAAGCTAATTACGACCAGGTGGGCCCTCTTTTATACAGGCCTAACCACTCGTTGGTCTCGGCAAACCACAACTGACTGTTTTACGCAAATATGTTTTTAACCAATTACATTTATACTCTATCGGCTTATGATCCCGACCACAAACATTATATATAAAAACAGTGCATTTAATTACGCATTAAATAAGTGATATGTGATTTGAATTTTCCTTTTTCTAATTCATATAAAGTGGATAACTCACTAGGTTTGTAATGCAAGAATTGTTTACGACTTACAACTTTTTAGCCTTTTCCACCGTTGGGTCAACTTTTTCTCTTACAACATAGAGCATGTAATCCGCTTGTTCGGAGGGCTGATTTAGCAAAATTAGAACCGTAATCATACAGACTGCTTCTTTAAAAAGAACCAACTGTCCATAAATGGCCCCATCACTTAAAATGTTACCTTTTCTAACAATTTAGTTTTAAAAACTCTGTATAGCTCTCTTTCACAAGCTTTCAAACTTTACACAAGTTTTGTTTCCAAAATGTTACTGTATGTAGATTATATATACGTCATGTAATAAAATCTACACTAAATCCGTTCTGATAGGTAAACATCCCTTTATCCTAACACAAAGATATTCACATCATGTAGCTTACTCTTCAGCTAGGGATTCTGGGATATGCACTTATTATTTAAATAGTTATTGCTATTTTTCAACAGCAGTATATCCACAAAATAGCCAATCTGTCTGTATTTTTAATTATGAACTATGGTATTAATTTAATTGCAATGCTTGATTTCAAGAATAATTTTATTTCTTCCTCCAAAATATAAACAATCTCTTCATAAGATTTGTATTTGTCGATATTAGAGGAGCTTGCTGGAAGATGTTAAACTGGAGATATATACCGGTATATATTTTATATTCATCCTCACATACTGTGTGGCTGTTTAGCCTTGGATCCATACACAATCGGACATTGAGCAAGTGCCGTGTCTCCCTGCCAGGAGAGGGACACTGTAGAGCAGGGGTGCCCAAAAGGTGGATCCCCAGATGCTTTTTCATTCCAAAGCATTCTAAAGGCATTTCAAGCATCATGGGAGTTATAGTTCTGCAACATCTGGCATCTACCGTTTAGGGCACACTGCTGTAGAGGGTAACGTTGGTGTCTCCTAGCAACTGCTCTTTTTGATGATATATGTATCCTTCTATTTTACAGGTATGTCACTGCATGCTCCTTGGCACCCACTTACCCTCTCCTAGCTATTGGCTCAATGGACAAAACTGTATCTATCTGGAAACTGAGACAGGAGAATGATACACCAGGCAAGTTCTGTCTTTTTATTTACTTAATGTACATGTAGAATTTAAGAAACAAATTATGTATTAACCTTTTTGCTGTTTATATTCTTCTGCCCCTTGAATATGTCTACCTTCTGTTTTATGAAGTGGATTTAGGTACCTACCTCACATTTATTTGGTTACCTATCAGCTACTATGGACTGGGAAAATTTACGCCCTGTTTCATGGTTTGCACCTAAGTGATCACATGGCATCTTTAGTCTGGGACAGATTATGTTACTAACTTGGTTCTCATGAAGTGTGACATTGATTACACTTATATAAAAATCTGCTGGAATGATTCCTCCTAGGGTAATATGCAACAAAGGTTTTGGTTGCCTGGGACCAGTTTTAGTGGGTCATAGTTGGAAGCTTAATTATAGTAGTGTTTAGGCTACAGGACATCACAGTCCTGTGCCATTTCAACTTTGAACATTTTGATCAGCTACAACATTAACCCCTTATGGACACATGACATGTGTGACATGTCATGATTCCCTTTAATTCCAGAAGTTTGGTCCTTAAGGGGTTAAAACCACTGACCGGTAAAGGGAATAATGTTGATTATATTGTTACAATGGCACCTGTCAAGGGGTGGGATATATTAGGCAGCAAGTGCACAGTTAGTACTTGAATTTCATGTGTTGGAAGCAGGAAAAGTGGGCAAGCAAAAAGTTCTGATTGACTGTTATAAGAGCCAAATAGTGATGGCTTGATAACTGGGTCAGAGCATCTTCAAAATAGTCTTGTGGGATATTCCTGGCAGTGGCAGAACTACCGCGGCCGCAGGGGAACTGCGAAGGGGTACCTGCCGGCCAGGTGTTGTGGCCCCGGCCTGCGTGGTATAACCACCGGGGCTGTACGTTAAGCCCATGATGTTAGGGCCACCTGATGGAAATGAATTTCCAGGGGGCCAGGTCAGCACTGCGGCACTTTAACATCGCAACTGGACTCCCTTTGATGACATCAGAGCACAGGGAGGAAGTGACTGCCTCGGTCACTTCCTCCCTTCAATCACAGAGCCCGTGCGGGAAGAAGAAAGGAGGGAGTCAGAGTGGGAACTCCCATCATCCTGAGCCACTGGACCCCAGGGACAGTCACCCTCCTGCACCTAAAAGGTAGGGAACAGGAGGGTGTCATTTTGCATGTGTCGCTTTGTGTGTGTCGGTGTATATGTATGTGTCTCCAGGGCCGTCTATAATATGATTAGGACCCTGGGCAATGCATTTTCTTGGGCCCCATTGGCCCTGTCCCTGCCACTGCCTCACCCCCCAATTACGTCCAACCCGCAATCACACTGACAGACGTACTGGCACATACACACACAGACAGACATTAAAACATTCACAGATACATACTGACACACAAAGTCACTACACACAAATATATACTGGCAGACATACTGACACACACACAGACATACATACATACACAGACACATACATTAACAGATATACTGACACACACACAAACACATACACTGACAGATATATACATACTGACAGACACATTGACACACACACACACACAGGCATACTGACATATACACACAGGCATACTGACATATACACAGACAGACGTAATGGCTGATACAGACAGACATTAAACATTCACAGATATATACTGACACACACATACACTGACATACAAATATATCCTGGCAGACATACTGACACACAGACATACATACATACACACTGACACATACTGACTGACACACACAGACATACTGACACACACATACAGACATACTGACATACACACAGACAGAGTGGCACATACACATAGACAGACATTAAAACATTCACAGATACATACTGACACACACATACACTGACACACAAATATATCCTGGCAGACATACTGACACACACACAGACATACTGACATACACACACACACACACACACAGACCTACTGACATACATTTAGCCACCCTCCAGGTTCTTACCTTTTCCTGGAGGGTGGTTTCCCTGGTCCAGTGGCAGGCTGAGGCAGATGGGAGTTCTCCTCTGGAACTCCCCTCCTCCCTGCCTTCCTCCTCCCGCGCGGCTATCTCCGGTGGGAGGAAGTGATGTCACTTCCTCCCAGCCGGCTGCAGAACCGGAAGAGGGGCCCGGTCACGCTGTTTAAGTGCCACAGCGCCCGACCGGGCCCCTGCTGACACATGCTCCCCGGGTGGCCCTTAGTGCATGGGCCACCCAGGGAGCCTCCTCAGTGTGCGGGAGCCGCACCGCAGGGGCTGCGCAAATCGCGGGGCCCACAGAGCAGCTGCTCTGGGCCCCCAGGAGCAACTGGGCCCAGGGCAGCTGCCCCGTTTGCCCCGCGTTAAAGACGGCCCTGTGTGTCTCTGTCATAGGCGTGCACCCTAAAGCAAAAACACACACACTGCGTGTATATGTATGTGTGTATATATATCTTGATATAGGGGGAGGGCAATTTTCACACCGGGGCCCCATGTTTTCTAGTTACGCCCCTGGTTCCTGGTATGCAGTGGTTAGTACCTGCCAAAACTATGTGACTGGTGAACCGATGTCAGGGTCAAATGAGCCAAGGCTTATTGATACATGTGGGGAGAGAAAGATAACCTGTCTAGTCCGATCACACAGAAGAGCTACGGTAGCTCAAATAGCTGAAAAATGTAATGCTGGCCAGGTTGGAAAGGTGTCAGAAGATAGTGCATCGCAGTATCCTGCATATGGGGCTTCGTAGCTGCAGACCGGTTAGAGTGCCATGATGACCCCTGTCCACTGCCGAAAGCACTTTCAATGGGAACAGGAGAATCATAACTGGACCATGGAGCAATGGAAGAAGGTTGCCTGATCTAATGAATCACAAAGTCTTTTAGATCAGTAGGATGGCCAGGGAAATGTGCGTTGTTTCTCTGTGGAATACACAGCAGCAGGATGCACTATTGTAAGAAGGCTGGAAAAAAAAAAAATTTGGTCGTGGTATTCATGTGTATGTTACTTTGACATGTACCACCTACCTAGAGATTGCTGCAGACCACGTAACCCCTTCCTGGCAATGTTTTTTCATGATGGCAGTGGCCTCTTTCAGCAGGATAATGCACCCTACCACACTGCAAACACTACTCCGTAAGTATTTGTGGAACATGATAAAAAGTCCAAAGTGTTGACTTGGCCTCCAAATTCCCCAGATTTCAATCCTATTGAGCATCTGTGGGATACGCTGGACCAAGTCCGATCCATGGATGTCCCACCTTGCAACTTGAAGACCTTAAAGGATCTGCTGCTACGGTCTTGGTGCCAGAGATAACTGGACACATTCAGAGGTCTTGTGGAGTCCATTGCTCAACACATCAGAGCTATTTTTTCCAGCACTTGGGGGACCTACACAATGCTAAGGCAGTGGTTTTAATGCTGTAGCTGATCAGTGTATTCAGTACAACCAATACATGTCCAATAATTTATATTAACACTGTATACTTCTGGACATTGTAAGTACATCTGACATCTCCTCCTCTGTTTACATTTATTTCTACCACTGGAAAGTTTGTGTGATAGCAACTAAAATAACAAATTTGAAGTGTTGCAGGTCACTTATAATCGAGGCTGTAATGACTTTATATACATAAGAGAGCGCCTCTGTTACAATGTCACTATTTACAATTAAGGTTACAGGGTGCAGATAGTTCAGGGTGACTATAGGTGGGAGTATTTGGCAGGCTATCTACATTAATTTTTGGTACACCTACAGTCACGGTTCTGCCTAACTGAAATTCCCATCAATCTAAACCATAATTATGATTAACCACATCAGTGCCTCCATGCTGAAAGAATACAAGGTTACATTGGGAGATTCAATACTACAGCTCATTCTATAAATACATTTGTTATAAATAATGCTGTAATAACTATGAACACCAAGTCCTTACCATGTATTTGCACCCTGCTTCTTTTACACTGCTGGACCACATCTCTGTATGTCTTGTTCATACATTATACAGCACTGGAGAACATGGAATATGAGCTTTAAAGGACACTATAGTCCCCAAAACCTTTAGCTTAGTGAAGCAGTTTTAGTGTATAGATCATGCTCCTGCAGTCTCATTGGTCATTTCCTCTGCCATTTAGGAGTTAAATTACTTTGTTTATGCAGCCCTAGTCACACCTCCCTGTGCGTAACTTAATAGCCTTCCTAAACACTTCCTGTAAAGAGTCATCTAATGTTCACACTTCATTTATTGCAAATTCAGTTTAATTTAGAATTTCTCAGCTCCTGCTTTGTTAATAGCTTGCTAGACCATACAGGATTCTTCTGTGTGTGATTAAAGTTCCATTTACAGAGCAGGAGATAAAAACCTGTAAAGTCAGCTACATCTGATTGAAAGTGAAACCATTTTGTTTTTATGCAGGCTGTGTCAGTCACAGCCAAGGGAGGTGTGGCTAGGGCTGCATAAACAGAAACAAAAGTGATTTAATTCTTAAATGGTAGAGAATTGAGCAATGCAACTTTCGAGGCATGATCTATACAACATAACTGCTTCATTAAGCCAAAGTTGTTTTGGTGACTATAGTGTCCCTTTAATAATAATAGTAATCCTAGTTTAATTTTTTGAAGTCAGCACAGTTTGCAAACACAATCAAGTGTGTGTGTGTGTGTGTGTGTGTGTGTGTGTGTGTGTATTTTAACACTGAGATTTACTTCTTACTGAACAGCTTTATTGCCTTTAGTTATCAGACGACAAAGCAAGACAGAGACACACATTGAAAACTGGTCAGAGGACGACATCAAGAATTGGCTTTCTGAAGAGGGCTTGTCAGAGGTGGAACATGTATTCACTGCAAATAATATTGATGGCAAAGAATTATTGAACCTCTCGAAGGAATCTTTGCTCCATGACCTCAAAATCGGTAAGAACTCATCCTAAATCTCAGATGACTGTTACACAGAAAGAGGTTATTAAAAAAAAAAAAATAGTAAGTTATATGAATGTTATAAACAATATTGTTTCCATTAAATGGAAACAATATTGTTTACATTAAATGGACACAATATTCATTTAAAAATGATGCAAAAAAAAAACCAAACAAACTTACCTTTGAAGTCCCTTAATTTACAGAATTTAGTTAAAACCTTGGGAGAGATGTCAGTCAGACTTCATGTACAAGTTATAACTGCAGATTTTATTTTTTTTGCAAAATGCTAAGTTGTTATGGTGTTTCGAGTGATGCTATAAATGGAAATATGAATATTGTATATGCTTATCTCCTATATTTAACAAATACATATTTGTGGTCATTAAAATAAAATCATAATTAGAGATCCCCTGGCCTGTATTTAGCTCAATTCTAGAACTGAATGCCTCCATCTTTGCTCCCTGACAATTGTTTGTAAAAACTGTACAGAGCGTGCTATGCATTGCATGCCCTTGTTCTGCCTGGCTGAACTGGATGTAAGATTTCCGTTAAATCCTTAATGTACGTGTAAAATAAAACAGGGCATCAAATTAAACAAAGGTTAAAACAAAACATAGGTGATTAATGTTTTATTCAATTATGTCATTTACAGAAAAGTGACCGTTCCCCTTTAAATATATATTGGCTAGTAGGTAAGATTCCTGGTTAAATCAACTATTACTTTCAAACATCAATTATTTTTTTAACCATTTTTCAGAATCTTTGGGAGTACGTAATAAAATCTTAAGGAAAATCGAGGAGATAAAGAGCAAAATGAAGAGCACTTTAACAAACATCCCAGATGAATTTCTGTGCCCTATAACCTGTGAAATAATGAAGGACCCAGTCATCGCATCAGGTAAAACCAATACTTTGCAGAGGGTAGTCCTGCTACAGCAGTGTCCCGAAATAATGAATGTAATATTAGATTAGAGATGTTCTTCAATTTTAATTAAATGAGCTTAGTGACCCATTGTTCACTTGAATTATCCTTCATATTACTATATTCAGAAACACCTTGAGCAGAGTTGTCCTGGTGTGTCATCTCACTAAGCATCGAAGTGTAGTGAATTGAAAGCAAAATTGCTCAGTTTAGACAAAAATAGCCGGTTTGAAAAACTTATTCAGCTTAACCATCAACTATAGTCACATCTTAACTATTTTAGTCTACATTATGAAATTTTTCTGTTTTGAGAATACCTCCATTGTTTCAGATAGGTCTCCATAGCACGGGGTAAAGCAGTGTTTCTACAGTAATCTGTTTAGTGTTGGAAGTTCCTGTTGAATATAATAATATATCGGTTCCAATCAATGAGGACCACATTGGATCCTACAGGGGTCCAGGTTGGTCCATTAGACCCAGGCAAGACCGCGAAGGTCATGCCATTTTCTTCCTCCTTCGTGACCTGACGCTTTTAAAAATCACCTCTTGTTGGTGTGAGAGTTGGGCTCATCTGGGTAATTGAAACACAGACCAGCACCCAGAACTCTGTAGAGGTGGGATTTTTGAAGGTGGGGGAAGAGTAGCACTCTGTTCTTAAACCCAGTTAGCACAGTGACAACCCTAGTGGGGACCAGTGTTGGGTCCTGATCTGAGGGCCGATAACTGGCTGAAGGATACATTGTACCCATTGTTTTCTGCAATAATAGTTCAACTAGATCCAAATTCTACAATACGTAGTCAACAAAATGTTCTTTTCAGAAGATAAAGGCTTTTCTTCTGATCTCTGAAATACTTGGCAGGAGAGTCTTTTTTCTGTAGTGAAACCTGGATGTTTCAGATTAGCACGTACTCTACAAATTTAGGAATTCTCAAAAAGGAAACTGTGGTGAGTTGACAGTAGGGTTGCAACAGTTAGACCAAAATGAGCTACTTTGCTAAATTATTTCAACTGAATTCTTTTTATGCTCATCAGGACTCTATTGGCAAAAATGTTGGGATTAATTGTATTTCACCAATTAATATAACTCCTTTAATGACCAAACTTAAAATAACACTATCATGGTTGTGGATTTCAGTGGTAAATCATATAATCAGAATTTTGCTTTAGTGCTACCTTCAGCTATTGGCACTTCTGCAGATAGAATAGAAAAATTCAGCTTTCGGTGCCAAAACAAATCTGTTATTCACGAACTCTGATAATGCCATTTTATGGATGTTAATCAAAATGCCTACAAAGGATACATGAATATGTGCCCCAGTGTGTCTTCAGTCTCATGGCACTGATAAATGTACATGCAAATTATGAATAGTTGCTGGATATCAAGCGAACAATATCAAAGAACAATCACAGTTCTAAAGGCTAGAAACGAGTTAGTCATTTACCATGAAGACACAACAGTATTTTAAATAGCTTTTCCAGGCTCTTTAAAGGAACAGTATCGGTCAGGAACACAAACATGTATTCATGACCCTATAGAGTTAAAACACTACCTAGCCCCCCTGATCCTTTGTCCCTCTAAATATAGTAAAATCTTACTTTATTTCAAGTCTTCAGCTTCTGCCCCAATCTGTCTGCTTGGCCGACACCATCAGAAGTGATTCTCTGAGCCAATAACAATGCTTTTCCTTATGATTGGCCGAGGTAGATCACGGGCAGAGCCAGCACAAGTCAAACACAGCCCTGGCAGTCACACTGTGTAGCACTGCCCCAGAAAGCACCTCTATCAGTTATCTAAGGAGTGGACAGTGGATTTATCACTAGGCTGTAATGTAAACGCTGCATTTTTCTCAGAAAAGACAGTGTTTACTGCAAAAAGCCTGAAGGTAATGATTCTACTCACCAGAACAAATTCAATAAGCGGTAGTTGTTCTGGTGACTATAGTGTCCCTTTAAATATAAATGAAATAGTCACATTCTTGTAAGCAGTTTTTTTTTTTTTTTTTATATACACGTTTCCTTGTGATTCTTTTTTACTTAGAAAAAGAAAATCAGATTTTATGTATTATTATAACTTGATTTTTCCCCCCAAAAAATAGCATCTTTTCAATGTAACCAAGCTGTTTGCCAAGTCTGATGGCTGTTCTTGAGCAGCCATTGTCTTTTAATTCTTATCAGAGTTCACTAAATCCCAGGAGCTACGAATTCTAGATGTCCCTTTTCTGGCACCAAAATACATCTGTTTCTTTGCTAATACAATATGTGCCACGTCTGTGATGTCTTTTACAGTAACATATCATGTGGCAAGGTTCATGCTCGAAGCTGAAGGTGTACGTTTTTAAAATATCTTTAAACTATTCATAGTTAGGGATCTGAGGAAAAAGGAGACATACAGATTATTCACTATAAGAAGAAACTCTGTAAGTGTAGAGTGAATTCAAAGTGAATTTCAAAATATACGGCAAAAAAGTTGGTTCTCTTTTGGCCTTATTAAAATTCACTTTAAATCCACGGCAATTCTCTTCTTCGTGTTCATATTGTGCTGGAGTGCAAGGAGTTTATTCCCCCCCCCCCCACGCTTCCCTCCCGTTCAAGTTAGACGGAAAGTTTGACACACAGACTGTCAGTGACAATTTACCAGCAAGTCACGTCACGTTTTTTTTTTGCTCTCTATTTACACATGAAAGCTTCTGGGCAACCCGGGACCTTATTTCAAGAAGCTCAAATTATTCCTCTGACAGTTCGGTGATGAATGTTCACAAAACAATTTGAAGCTCACATTGAAATGTAATTAATGATAAGAAGAAAGATATTTGGAGCAGATTCCTCTCACTTATTGAACGCTCGGGGAGGAAGGGGGTTTATTATTCCATCATTGGAAATACATTGGTACCCTTGAAATCGCTAGTGAAATGTCATTATATCTCAATTAATAAGAGAATACGTCCATAACGTTAGGATATAAACAGGGTAGTGTGGAACTGGATGGTATAGACAATAGGCAATAAACTAATTCAATCTAACATGTGAAAAACACTAAGCAGGTTTATTAATTACACATTGTTACCCATGTATTTCACCATTTGTGACATTGTGTGTGTACCCATATTAAAATAATATGTCCTTACCTTCTCTCTGCTGGTTTGTGAACTGTAAAACAGATATACAAGTTGTACACTAACTGCAATATCTATTGCATCCCCAATTGGGATGTAACCTCTAAAATATGGACAAATATGTACAGTAAACCAGCATACACAGAAAGTACTGTACCCCCGCTAATACACTGTTTTGTAAAGCTAGGTATTCTATCAACACCATATAAACCATACTCACACTGTAACTACTGTACATGCCTTCTCCTGTAATGTAACCTGTGCTTGGTAAAACCTTTTCTGGATGGCCCATACAAAGCACTGGCAAAGCACTCTAAAGCATAGACAGAAATTGAAGATTTGAAAATTCCAAGATGACAAATCAAGGGTCCAGCATTTTGCAGCTGACTTGGGATTTGGAAGCTTTTTGCCCATGTTCAACTAGACTATTACAGAAATACTTTACCCTGTGATGTTTTCATTTTTATAATAGTTAACCATGCATCTATTTTGCTCAACGTATAGGCTACATGAACAATATTGGATTCCATCATATATTATTTTTGTAACTTTGCATTTTTTTCTTTTGCAGATGGTTATTCGTATGAAAGAAGTGCAATAGAAAACTGGATTAGCACCAAGAGGACCAGCCCAATGACCAACCTTCCTCTCGAAAACCTTCTTCTAACACCAAATAGGACGCTAAAAATGGCTCTAAACCGTTGGCTGGAAAGCCGGAGCACAACATTACTGTGACGTTGTGGTGTCGACTGGAACTGATGTGCAATAGACCATCTCCACCCCAGCTCTCAAAAACATTAAAATTACACCATAAAATATTTATTTAGTAAAACCCGAAAGACATTATGTGGCGGTGGTGGTGACTGACTAAAGAGCTAGTTTATGGCACTAAATTAGGCATCAAATCTGTGCAAGGACTGATGTGCGACCCTAGTGCAGTCACTCAATGGATTGTTGACCTGAGTGCTAGTGTAGGGAGGGTGAATTTGTCAGTGTAATGCATCAAGATCTACCTGATTTGTTACTCAGGCACCTGTGCATTTACCATGGACCCTATCAGCGACTGTACTGGTTTAGCTTTGGAGGTATAGAATGCAAGAAGAGAATTCTGTCCACGAATGATCCCGAATAGTAAATCTTCTATGTAACGAACATTGAGTTTTAAAGAGAATAGAATGATTGCTATATGGGCATTTTTGAAGATTAATCTTCCAATTTCCTGGTTTCTGTACTGTCGCAAGTTACAAACATTTAAAGGGACGCAGGCTATAGCAAATTTAATCTTTGCAATCCACACTTTTTTAAATTGAAAGCAAAAATGATCAATAATACATGTATTTACACTTTCACTTTGTGGAATTTCTATATATGGAAACTTTTCATATCATGTTTATGCATTCCCTATATTTAATGAATATGTATTCATCAAGTGTGAAAATGAAATGTAAAAAGCTACACTTCTTTATTCTGCAAATATGCTCCTACATGTTGGTGCCTTTAAAATAATTATTATAAAGCCTTTCCATTACACCTGGCACTCACCATAAAGAAAGCAGAGAATAGGAGAGTCTTACTTATGTGCAGAGCACACCCTTGTTGTGACTGGATTGTCATGTCATTATTTGGTAAATCGTTCACATAAATTTGAGTAAACTGAGTATTACATGATAATGGTATACCCCAGCAATATTTCCAGTTTAGTGACAGTTCCACTGTAAGACCCCAGACTTCGCAGCTCTTGCCGGAAGCTCTGTGCGGAGCAGAAAGCCCCTTGGCCAGTTGGGCTGGTTCTATAGATTTCTGTGGCATTGCTGAGGTTACCCACGAATCCCTGCTCTGCACTGCTTTATACGCACAGTAGAGGTTTATGGGATCAGTTCAGTTGTCAGAGTGGTGTATAATTTACAGATTGCAAATTGCTGCATTTATTAGACAATATGTGTATATATAGTCATGGAATGAAGATCTCTTTATATACAAGTGTATACAAGATTAATTAAGTTATGGTACATTGTGTGTCCCTTTAAAACTGGCAAGGAATTAAAGATCAGTTGCTTGCAATATCATATAAAGTACTACCTCTTATTGACGGATTAACCTCTAGGGCCTAAGGCGCTAGACAGAGGTTAAGGTCATTTTGCTTGTTGCTATTTGTTATTGCTTGTTAGTAATTAATCTGTAAAATTGCTCAAATAGTGAATAAAAATGGAACATATGTTCAGTTGAGACCTTGTTTAGCAAGGCTGGTGGGGTTGTGACATCTGGGCGAACAAACACCCCTAAAATGTCCAGTCGTTTCCTCATTACCGACCACAGCACACAGCCACCATGCTTACTAGTGACACAAGCTATATCCCAATTTCTTAGTATACAGAATTTGAAGACAGACAGCTGCAGGTCGTATTCTTAGTAGTTTTTGTCTTTGTAAACTCTTGGCATACCACAGCTGTTATCACTTTACCCACAGCCAGGTTCATGGTTTAGTTAATTTGGCTTTGTGCAAGGCATTCACATACTTTCTGGTTTGACAGCTCTGAGAGCCTGGCTAAGAGCTACAGCAATGTTTACAAAACTCTGCACTTATAAGCCAAACTGAGAGTTGAGAATATATTTAAGGAACACAGTGAACCACCAATGGTGCGTAGGGTAACACTTTAGTGCAATACTTTTATGGTAAGTTTTACCTTTCATTATAATTTGGGGAAATATTTCCCTTGATTCACATTTACCCTGCACGTTAAGGTATACCATTCTCCCAAACTCTACATAGCAGTGCAGCTGTCAGCACCTGCTCACTCTGTTAGAAGACTCATAAAACCTGGATGTTTAAAAAGTCCTTTTTCCTGTCCCCAAATGAGGCCATATTTTGTATTTTTTGCTAACCAGGCCACTTTGTGAAAAGATCCAGTCAAGAGAGTTCAGTCTCTTCCTTCATGGAGACCCAGTACTCCCAGTTTTAAAAGGTGTCTCCCTGGGTGTACCCCTTTTAGTCAGACATCACTTTCCTCAGCCCTGGCTGCTAGCTTTGTTTTTCCTGTTTCGATGATTGAACAGGAAAAAGAAAATATTGAGTGGATGGAGCAAAGATCAGTTTGTGCTGCCATGATGGTTAATCAGAATATGCAAATTACATTAAAGTCTTTAAAGACAGAAACACAGTATATTGTTACAAACATTTGACTTCCATCTTGAGGCCACTCCTCCAACCCAGAAACTATTGACCATAAGTACCTCAAAATGTATCGATTTTAAAATGTATCCAAGATTACAGACTGGTCATAAAAGTAAGACATAGTAAAACATATATTATACAAAATGCTATTTTTATTCCTTATGGAAATACAGTAGATGTGCAAAAGAAAGTTACAAACCAAACTGGGGGGAAAAGACATTATATTGAAGTAGTAAAAATAAATAAGCTATATATAGAGAAACTAACATTTGTGAAAATCCCATTAACATTTTTCTCTTTTTTACACTGAACAGACATATTCTGTATACACACCTTCCTAAAATAGAAGACAAGGGAAGCAAAACGATTAGTATATATACAGAAGCAGGAAAATATTAGAAGTTATTTTAAAAACAAAACGTGTAGGAATTTGCCCAGCTTAATGCCACCTTTAAATGGCAGGGAATTTAACACAGGGGTAGAAAAGCAAAGCTTTATACGACCTCCTCCTCCCCAGGAGGCAAAGGGTTAACCTCTTTGCGTGGCAAGCTTACCAGCACTCTGAAGGTTAAATAAAACCCTATAGTTCTGATTTAGCCATTTCAAACAGAGATTCCATATTCACCCTCCCAATACAAAATACTCCCTGTACCTTTCTCACATAATATTACATTATCTCCTACAATAGCACCTTTAAAGGTGTTTAGAATAAAATAAAAAGATAAAGTGCGGTAACTGTTAGGACTGATATTTTGCAATATTAATATATTACTCAGTGCAATAAACCAGTATGGTTGAAGCTTTTAACAAACGCGTGCGTTATATGGCCATGTATAGACTCCTTTTAAAATAAGGTTATATGTACACGTGAACATTTTTATATCTGAACCTATTTTATAGCAATAATGTATTGACATAAATTATGGTTACAATCTATACAATCTGAACTATCCATAAAAGATCAGATTATGCTCTAAAAAAAAGTTCTTTTATATATCTAAGTTTAAAAGTTTAAGATTCTACTCCCCCTACCCTCCCCCCATTAGCTTACAGAATTAACCCTTTGGTCGCCAGAAAGCATTTGCTAACATCCACTCTCTAGCACGAAAAAAAAAATGACGCTATCTTTGGATTTTGAGGTTTAAGAATGGATATAAATTATCTCTCTGTCACTCTTTTCAGTGTCAGATATGAGCACTACATTGCTAGTGCACCACTGGCAGTTTAAAGGTTAATTGCTCTAGCAGTAAGGCACCTGATATGAGGTTAACTGTTCATAAATACTGATTGTAATGTGTTTTTCTCTCCTTTAATAACTTTACAGAGCAAAATGCTTTAAGTAGAAGAAAGAGGTGGTGGGGAGGGATGGGGGGCAGAGTCCTGCTAAATTTTTTTTTTTTAAAGGCACCTACAAAATATTCATTAATACTGAATTTCCAGTTACTATAAGCAGCCGTGAACTGGGGTACGTGTACCAATGTCACAGCCTGTTTCTTGACAGAATCCGTGTTCTTCAGACACAGTCCAATTATATTTCCAGCATCTGAGATGCAGAAGGGGAACCTTGAGTTTTAAATGTGCCAGTTATTTTAAATACCAGCATTTTAATTAAGGTTTGCATAAATACATGTACACACACATGCACACAAATGTGTTGAGTTATGTGTTAGTTCTTTACAGAGTGCTATACCTGAAGGATTCCATTTCAAATCCTTTGGTTTTTACAGAAAGTACATTTGAGCAAGAAGCCACCGGACATCCCGACATTTACTATCATACTAACTGTAACAGCGGGAAAGGTCATTTTATCTCTGATCATGTGATAGCATTATATTTTCGCAAACAAGGTGCAGTCGAGACCTGCAGATATAGAACTCTGAAGGTTGTGTTTTTTTTTATCTGTATACGCCCAAAAACAGTTGAGTTTTTAGGATAGCTTTAAAATGCAAGGTTGTACGACAGTGTTGCTCCCTGGCACTATAAGATGTTGTTGTGTGTTTATCAATGTGTGTGGTTTTTGTGGATGAATAATACAGCATGCTATACACAGTACTGGCAGCTTCTCAATGGACATTGCATTGCTGTTAACAGTCTTTAAAACAAAAAAAAACAAACAAAATTTTTTTGACAAGGCTGCTAATTAGAAAAACAAAAACCATCTTGCAAAATGTCTTCTGGTATTTTTGCTCTGGCTATGTGATTAATATTAAAGACAAAACCTGTATATAAAGTGGGGGTAAATTCCAGATTAATTAGATATATTTTCTATATTAACTGAAAGACATAAAGCAGCTTTGCCCACATGCAGGGATGTGATATTAACGTCACAAAGACACATTTTTCAAAGACACTAATGCAGTCCATCTTTAGATTTAACCAGCACGATGGTCTCCTACAATCAATAAGAAGATGAAGGACGATCTTTTAGATCCTAAATGTATGATAATTAATACAATCTTTCAGATACATACATAAAACTAACAGTTTGTTGTCCATGTCTACTTTTGCAAAACCTTCAGCTATCACACGTTTGATTCTATGAAAGATCTCTTTGGTTTTGTAGAGGGCATGGAGCTTAGGTTTGCTTCCTTGTTTATAAGAGACTGTGACCTACTCATGGCTTCCTGAAACGACTGACTTACATTCTTGGATATCCTTGGTTCTTGAGGGACATTGGGCATTTGGCACTTTCCATCCTCTGTGTCCTTTGAAAGAACCCCATTGTGATTATTAGCTCCATAGACCTTCGACAAGATTTTATTGTTACTGCCATATCCAGGTACCGGCCTGGCAGGAAGTTTATCTAGATTTGCAGAGTGAACAGTAGCAGGCATGGAGGTATTTATTGGTAAGCCTTCCACTGAAGACTGATTTTGCCAACTACGGCCCACATTAAGGTTCTGTTGATAAGTTCTTGCAGTTTTATCCATAATCCCCATAAATGGAATGTTGCGAGTTCTGTGCTCAGCGGTTCCAGTCAGGTTCTGGTTAATCTTCATTTCTTTGCTACGAACATCAGGACTTTTAATGCCTTCTGAAAAACTACTGCTTGAAGTTAAACTATGGGAGGTCATTTTTTTACCGTCTATGACTCCCACTTGCTTCCCATTACAAGACGTAACCTGTTTTTCGTTAGATAATACCGGGACATCCTGAGGTGCAGAATGACCCACAAGTCTCTCTGCCGTTTTACTAATACCTGTAAAGGATCCAGATGCTTTATAAGACGAGGATAAAACCTCACTAGATTGTTTATGGATAGGATGAGCTGAGGACAGCTTATCGATAAACACCGTGGCATGGACTCCTGTGGCAGGTGCTAAAGAGGATGAAGTCTTTGACCCTTCTGCAACAGAACTTCTGCTGTTGGCCTGGTTTGCAGTTTGTCTTGAAAGAACAGGACTTGAGGGAGCTAATGTTGCAGAGACTGGAGATTTTACAGACGAGAAACTGCCTCCAGACTTTGATAAGGACTGTAAAGAGTTCATGTGCTGATTGGTTTTCACAATCTGTGCCTGTTTTGTAGGCCGCTGTACCAGGGCTTGTTGTAAACCTATCCTTTTAGCTTGGTTCTCGTCAGGAGAGTCTGGCTTGTACTTTTGATTTACGTACTCTGGTATCCTGCTACTGTTGGATAAATCCTCTGGCAGTGAAGATAGTTGGAATTTATTGTTACCTTGGAAACATTCTTCTTCTTGTACCTCTTCAAAGCTTAGGTGATTGCTTAGACTTTCTCCAAGAGTCTCATCTTCTTGATCTGAGTCGTGAGTTGGCTGAGCCGGTGGTTGGTACTGTTTCTGTTGTTGGGATCTCTGCTGCTGTTTGAACTCTTCTTCCACCCGAGAAAGAAGTCGCAATATTTCTTGGTTGTTTGGACACAATTTCAAAGCTTCGTGAAGATCCGCAATAGCAGCAATAAACTGCCTGCAAAAAAGTAGAAGAATGTAAGGAGGCTTTCCAAATTACATGCACATGAAAAAATTGTAGGAATCTAAAAATACGGTTGTGGGGGAGCAGCAAAGCTTGTGATATATTA